AGGCTCCAGCAGTATGTGGAGCCTAGCTTGTAGGATTTTGAGCATAACTTTGCTGGCATGTGAAATGAGTGCAATGGTGCGGTAGTTTGAACATTCTTTGGCATTGCCCTTCTTTGGGATCGGAATGTAAACTGACCTTTTCCAATCCTGTGGCCACTGCTGAGTTTTCCAAGTGTGCTGGCATATTGAGTGTAGCACTTTTACTGCATCATCTTTTAAGATTTTGAATAGCTCAGCTGGAATACTGTCTTCTCCACTAGCTTTGTTGTTGCTCAGACTTCCTAAGGCCCATTTGACTTCACATTCCAGGATGCCTGGCTCGAGGTCAGTGGCCACCCCATCGTGGTTATCAGGGATGTTAAGCTCTTTCTTGTATAGTTCTTCTGTTCAATCTTGCCACCTCTTCTTAATCTCTTCTGCCTCTGTTAGGTCCCTGCCATTTTGGTTCTTTATTATGCCCATCTTTGCATGAAACGTTCCCTTCATATCTCCAATTTTCTTGAAGAGATCTCTGGTCCTCCCTGTTCTATTGTTTTCTTCTATTTCTTTGCACTGTTCACTTAAGATGCATTCTTATCTCTTCTAGCTATTCTCTGGAATTCTGCATTCAATTGGGTGTATTTTTCCTTTTCTTCCTTGCTTTTCGCTTCCCTTCTCTCCTCAGCTATTTGTAAAGCTTCGTCAGTCAGCCATTTTACTTTCTTGCATTTCTTTTTCTTTGGGATGGTTTTAGTTGCTACCTCTTGTACAATGTTGCGAATTTCCGTCCATAGTTCTTCAGGCACTCTGTCTATCAGATCTAATTCTTTAAATCTTTTTGTTACCTCTACTAGATATTCATCAGGAATATGATTTAGGTCATACCTGGGTGGCCTAGTGCTTTCCCCTACTTTCTTCAATTTAAGCCTAAATTTTGCAACAAGAAGCTTATGCTCTGAGCCACAGTTGGCTCCTGGTCTAGTTTTTACTGACTGTATAGAGCTTCTCCATCTTTGGCTGCAGAGCACATAGTCAATCTGATTTCTGTGTTGACCGTCTGGTGATGTCCATGTATAGAGTCGTCTATTGGGTTGTTGGAAAAGAGTGTTTGCTATTCTCTTGACAAAATTGTACCAGCCTGTGCCCTGCTTCATTTTGTACTCCAAGGCCAAACTTGCCTGTTATTCTGGTTATTTTTTGGCTTCCTACTTTAGCATTCCAATCCCCCATGATGATAAGGACATCATTTTTGGTGTTAATTCTAGAAGGTGTTGTAGGCCTTCATAGAACCAGTCAACTTCAGCCTCTTCGGCACCAGTGGTTGGGGCATACACTTGGACTACTGTGATGTTGAATGGTTTGCCTTGGATGCGAACTGAGATCATTCTGTCATTTTGGAGATTGTATCCCAGTACTGCTTTTCCTACTCTTTTATTGACTATGAAGGCTACTCCATTTCTTCTGAGGGATTCTTGCCCGCAGTAGTATACCTGATGGTCATCTGAATTAAATTCACTCATTCCTGTCCATTTTAGTTCACTGATTCCTAAGATGTCGATGTTCAGTCTTGTCATCTCTTGTTTGACCACATCCAGCTTTCCTTGATTCATGGGTCTTACATTCCAGGATCCTATGGAGTATAGATCTTTGCAGCATTGGACTCTCCTTTCACCACCAGATACATCTGCAACTGAGTGTCCTTTCGGCTTTGACCCAGTCGCTTCATTCTTTCTGGCGCTACTAGTACTAACCCTCCGCTCTTCCCCAGTAGCATATTGGATGCCTTCCGACCTGAGGGGCTCATCTTCCGGCGTCATATCTTTCTGCCTTTTGGTACAGTCCATGGGGTTTTCATGGCAAAGATACTGGAGTGGGTTGCCATTTCCTTCTCCAGTGGATCACATTTTGTCGGAGCTCTCTGCTATGACCTGCCCGTCTTGGGTGGCCCTGCATGGCATAGCTCATAGCTTCATTGAGCTATGCAAGCCCCTTTGCCACGACAGGGCAGTGATCCATGAAGGAGGGCCCATCTATAGGCTTCTCTATAGCAGCCTTCCTCGACCTGGAGCTTTCCATGTGCCCTGGCCAGCAAGGCCATTAGGCAGGCATGATGTGAACTGTAGTTGAAAACGTCTGGAGGGCACCAGTATGGGAGAAGCCCCTGTACAACATAGTTTGCATCCAACATAGTTTTCAAATGTGTATATAGCTGTTAGTTTGAAGTTAATGCTTCATGCCTGTAAGGAAGTGCACAATGTCGACAAAAGCTTATACCAAAATAAATTTTATTTATTTATTTATTTATTTGGAGTTTTTGTATGCAGTCCCATTGCTTAACGCCTTGGGATGGCTTATAAAAATTGCAACATTTTGTTATGGTTTTGCTGCAGCAGAATGACATCGCTGCCTCTCTGGAAAATCAATACTATGTCTGACCACCCAGCTCACAGGGTTCAGTAGTGGTTTACTTCATTACATTATAGCAATGCAATCTTTTGCATTCTTTCAGAATAGCTAGCACAGTTTATTTCTTAGATTTTGTAAATGTTGAAGGGCAACTGGCCTAACTAGTGAGCAATATCACCAGGATTACAACTGGGCTTCTGTTAGATTATTTCAGGTCAAACAGCCTGTTGGGGGACAATCTAAAAGGGCTTATTGAACAGTACTTATGAAACAGACCAGTGTTTATTTTGGTTATGCTGCTGTGTATAATCCTTGTTCTTCATTTCACCTAAGACTGATCAGGCCCTGTTTCTACACCTTCATCCAAGGAATCTTTACTGAGTAAGATGACTGCTCATAGGTTCAGTTTGCTCCAATGCTCCAATGCTAACTTAGTGGTATCATGTGCTTAGTTGGTGGCCATTTATGAACTTGAATAACAAACCAAAATAAAATGCAAATGCAACATGCCTAACTGGTAATATTGGAATAGCCAAACCCACATCCTTTTATAGTCTAATAAACCGATAATGTAGCAAGTTTCACTACCAACACAATGTTACACCCAGACAATTCTCACTGTGGCCGCCTAGGAAAAACACCAAATCAACTACTGCAGCCCAAGATTTGAACAGAGCCACTGTAGACCATGTCCTCCAAATCGTAAATGTTTCATTACTGGTAGCTCATAAAAAGGGTTAAAGAAATAATTTGAGCAGAAAGCAAGAGGTAGAACTCAGGCCTCCTTCTCCAAAGAGCAATTTCCCAATGCTCACCTATAGAAGCAAGTGAGCAAGCACAGCCATACTAATATCCCTTGGGGACAACAAGGGTTTGTTTCATTTCAGGCTACATCTCATGATTGTCATTTTCATGTTTGCGTCCCAGGACACTGGGATACATTAACCAGAATAGGGCAATTACCAGGTAGGGGCCACAGCTAAGTGGTACAGCCCTTGCTTCTCAAGCTGTTCTGAACATAACTCCAGGTGTCCTGGATTATGTTGTTTCAGGGGACTGGGCTAAGTCAAAGCTGCTAAACTTCTTTTAGCACCACAGTCAATTTCCACACTATAGAAGACCTGGAAAGATGAGAAATGTGTTACTGTACTTCCTTCGCGAGATGATAAGCCAGCCCTCCTGCTCATTCCGCTGAGTGGGCAGTGGATTGCTGTAGCCAAGATACAATGGTTTAAATAGTTTCCCACCTTGGAGAATTTTATTTATAACCACTCCTTTTTCTCCCCCCCCCCACCCATATATCTGATAACTATGAGGGCACTGCCACCCATATATGAGGACACTGCAAGAGTCTTGCTTTCCATATTGTGAAAAATCCATAATTTCTCAATGAAGCTGTTCAACCTTTAAGACAATGTTGTTTTACATAGAAAGGGTAAATCATGCCACCCGGGTTTAGTGCCTGATTTGCCTCTTCTCAGGGGAAACCTCTTCCAGTAACAAAGATGCAAGAATGGACACATCACATTGATGGGGAGGCTTGTAGGTGTTGCCGTAATGATAAGTAAGTAGACTGGGGAAGGAAAGTATAACATTCTTAGAGAGTGGAAGAAAAAAACCCTATAAAGAGAGAGACAGAGAGAGAGAGAGAGAAGGACAGAGAGATACTGTTAGGTCACTGAGGGCCCTCATCCATTGCAACATTTATTTTGAGCTTTATGGGAGCTATCCACAGTGCTAAACTCCAGTTCCAAAATAGGTTCACCACAGTGAAACACCATGAATAGCTCAGTGGATAAGAAGCCCCAGTTACATAAGGGTCACTAGCCTC